AAAAATGAAACAAAAAAGTAAAAGGAAGTTTGCAATAGGCTGCCCACAGAAGTTCCTTTCTTCTCCCTAAAAGTCAAAGCCTCATTTGCACTCTGAAGTAATTCCTGTGCCTTACACAACTCTTAATTATTTTCAATCCTTGCTGTAGTCATTGTAAGTGTCCTCATAAACTGGATAAATGCACCTTTTGGAGGATTCTTTTCTTCCTAGTAATATTTTGTAGTAATTAATTTAAGATCCAGATAGCTTCCAAGATGCCTTAATCAACAGCATATCCTGTCCTCACCACAAAGCTCCTGAAATTCCTATGTGTTAAGTCCAGACTCCAAGAATGCAGACAGGTGCCCACAGGAGGGGGCAAAGTTGCCAGAATTTCCCATTCTGTGGTAAGCACATGGCCCAGCTCCCTGCCCACCAGCTCCTCCCACACATTTGGGAAGAGGAGGTTTGAATCCAGCCTTACCCTGCTCCAGGGAGCTGTGCCACTAGACACCCACCTGGGAGATGTGCTGTGGATGCTCAACTTCCAGCTGCCCCTAGAAAGAGATTCTGGCTGCAGGGAAGTCCTTCAGGAATGACTGAGGAATGAAGGAAGTGAAATCAGAACAACTACAGGGATACTCCCTGCCTCTGCTACTCCCAGAAGTTGTGCTCTTGGGGAGAAGGGGCAAGGAGCTTGGAATGGAGGTTTTAAGTCAGGGGAAGAGGTGGAACAAGGCTTAGGAGAATGTGGGAGGACCTGGGAAATAAAACCAGAGAATTGCTGCAGAGAACCAGAGATCATTTGGTCAGCAAGGGATCATGCAACAAGCCAGGAATGAAATCATGGCTTGAGCAATGACTTTGTACCACCAATAGAATCCTGTGGGGAGTAGACATGGGAAGGGTGGGCTCAGCCTGGAGTTTTCACACTTAGGAGCACAGGCTGGGAGCCCAGCTAAAGAGCTGGGGGGTGATGATTTATGAGAACAGAGCTAAATGGTTAAACAACAAGTAAAGGCAGACATAACAGTCTACAAATACCCACAGGAGTAAGTGTCAAGGAGTGTGAGGAATTTTTGGAAAAGCAAGATAAATTTCCCAAGACTAAGGTACAGTGGCTTGTGACACTCTTGGCCAAACAGCTGAAGTTCTGTTGGTTGTGACTGGCTTGGGCAAAGGACAAGCAAAGGAAAGGCAAGAAACAAACATGTGATGTACAACAACTGAGAGGAATTATTCAACTCTGTTCCATGTTCAGGTGAGCTCCAGGTCTCCATCACCAGAGAAGCTACTGGCAGTGTTCAGCAAGGTACAGGAGCTGGTGGTAGGATTTTGGAGCCCTCTTGTAGCTGCTTTTCCCCTTAGGATTTTCATGGTAGCAGCAATTACAAATGTGATTTAATTGAGAGAGTTTCAGGCTGATTGTACGGATAAAGAAGTCACACAGTTGCTATTGCACAAACTCAAAGCTAGAAAGACTGTCCACCTCAGCAGAGTCATTACAATTAACATCCAATTTGCCCTGGATAAAGGGTGAGTGTTAAAACTGAACCTTATCTCATGCCCGTTTCAGCCCCTGAAATAGCTCTTAACTAGACTTGAAGTTTGTTCTGTGCTGAGCACCTGCATGAGGAATGAGATCCAGCCCAAGGTCATGTTTCAGGGAGGGAAAGATTTCAGCAGGAGGTCTGGGGGATGTGCCTGATGCTCCACATGAGGGAAAAGAGCTGCTAGAGCAACACTGAGCAGGAATGCAAGGGAAAGGGAAAGAATGCAAAGCAAAAATCGAATAAAAAAAAGGACCTCTGAGTTTCGTGTCACAGCGTGGCATTGCAACTGTAGCAGGGTCAGGAAAAAGAGACAGCAAGGTAGAAAGAAAGAAAGAAAGGATGGGATTGGCTCTGAATCCCTCAGATTGCAAAATTATTGCTTCAGTAAAGGAAATAAATAAAGGTAAAGGGCAGAAAAGAGTTCATATACAGTCCTGAATTGTGCTAAGGGGGAGAAGAAAGGGATAAAACAAACCAAAAACACAGCCACAGGAAACAAATGTAGCCCTAAGATACCTTCTATCTCCCCCTTTTCTGACAGATGTCCCATTCTCAGTCCCTGGAGGGACTCACTCAGGGGAATAAAGCAGTTTCCTTTCTTCTTCCTGCCTTGATTGAGACACTAACATGAGTGTTGCTTAACTCAGGGCAGGAACCTACTTTTCACTTAGTCCTGAAAAACAATCCCAACTCTGGCATCCAGTAAAGATGAGCCACACAGCTCCCGTGGTGAGGAAGGGACTGAGAAAAACCCAGGGAAGCTGCAGGGGATTTATTTTGGCTGAGAATCTTTAGGTGGTCAGGATATGGCTGTGAGGTTCCAATAGAAGCACAGAATGAAACATTGCTAAACTGTCCCAAAGAGAAAAGATGGATTTCAGAACTATCTAACAACAAAATGTGCTTTATCTCCCATTTTCAGGCTTGGAAAGAGCTGACCATCCTAGGGGAAATGCCACTTAATGTCACAACAACATCTCAAAGCTTTTTGGAGATTTAGGTGTTGATTAATGAGACATTCAGGTTCACAAGCCAAAGAAGCTGGGGAATTCTTTTTGCCAAAGGTTTACAGGTGGCAAGCAAAAAATTATTAAGGAAGAAAGGCCTTGTAATTAAATGCTTAACTTGAGATTCAGGTTCTTCTCACCTTAATGCTTAAAACACAACAAGAGGTGCCTTATATTTTTGTAAACACTGTGTTCCTTAAAGGGAATTCCCAGTCCTTGGCAAGCTGTCAGGAGCCTACAGTGGGAAGAGCTGCCTGACTATGCAGGAATGTCATTCCTGTGGTAAATATTTCTAAGAAAACTCAGGTAGTGGCATGGTACCCAGAATTGTGCCAGGGATCGATTTTGAGTCTATTGTGTTTGTTTCCTTGCTGGGGAAGAAAAGTGCTTTTAACCTCCCAGACTTCTCTAGGGCTTTTTCTCTTCAAGGTTTTTTAGAAAACTCCTGAGCAGGAAATGAAAACAATTACCTGAACAGAGCCAAACAATCTGTAAACTTTGACTCTCCCAAAGAAGCATTTTTTGATGTACAACAGTTTCCAATGCAGGAGACACTTTTTGCCCTTTAGTTTTGTGGTGTGTTATAACAGATCACACTGAAATCTGAGGTAGAACACAAAAAAGGAAAACAATCCTCATAGTGAATCTTTACTTTTGTTGGAATCCTTTTCTGAATGTTTATGGCAACCCATAAAGTTGCTGAAACATGCCTGCTATATTTTTAATTGTTATTTTAAATGCCAAAACCCAGAAGTCCTGCTTATATTGTATGCGAACACAGTGTCTGCTTATGTTCAAACCCTCAGGCACTTTAAATAACTCCACTGTACACAGAGAACGTTGTTCATTTTGTTTTTACAATTTTTGCCCGTGTAGAAGGAGCTCTAACATCCCGAGAACATAAATGTATGTTCATAAGCAAGGAGCAAGATCACAGCTGGAACCTACCTGAGCTTTGGATCACGTTTCGGCAGCGGCACAGGCCGAAAAAGCCGCTTAATTCTCAGTTTAATTTACAAGAGCCACAAGTAGAACAGCACATAGTAGACTTACTGACGTAAGGCACAGGTGAGTGCATGTTACAGGTCCAGCTCTGTGCCTGATCCACAGGGAATATCAGGCTGTTTCAGCCAGACTTCAGAGCCATTACTGCTGTAGCCCTGGAGGAACCCGGGCTGAACCCTGGTGTGTTAGTAAAGGTGGCAGCTGCCATAACAGACTTCTGTGTGAGTTACAAATTTGGGGCATAAAATGAGGGTCTTTTTAATGATTCCACTGAGTTTCATACCAAGCCTCCATTGTTCTGCCCTAAAGAATAAACCATTAGAGAATTTATAAGCTAATTTGTTGGGGTTTTTTCTTTCAAAGATTAAACAGGAGCAGATCGTAATTTCCTTTAAATGCATCTATTATTCATGAGTATTCAGTAAGGTTTATTATGGGCTTAAAAACAACAGCATATATATCTTTATACTCAATTCCAATCTCCTACACAGGCTGTGAAACTCACATTTTATGTTTAGTTGTGATTGACCATGAAAGTCAGAGGCTAATATGTGTTCCCTGAGTAAAGACACAGACAGGTATCTGGCCAATGTTCATTTTTCACATTAGTTTTCTGTAAATAATCTTACATGCAATTTTGCCACTTCCTCTCTGCAGGAATCTCTGGGAGTAGGTTAGCAAGCTGTGGCTTGCAGAGGGCTGACACACAGTATTTATGAACAGAGAGGAAGTAAATTAATTTCGGCATTTGATTCAACATTGGAGAAAAGCTTTTTGCAGCGTTTAATCATCCACAGTAACAAGAGGAGGTACAGTCCCTCCTCTAGCCCAGCCTTATTACCAGGGAAGGAAAATTGTGCTGAGTTAGGACTGAAAACAAGGGGTCAAAGAAAGAGACACTTCATTTCTCAGTGTCCATCCCTTAATGACAGTCCGTAACAGCTGCCACTATTTGTAAAACGTGCAGAAGAGGAATAGCAGGAGAAATGAAGCCACACACACAAGGTAACACCCTTCTTAAGCAACCACCACTTTTTGCAATGACCTGTACAAGGGTCATTTGGGGTTTTCCTTCCCTTGGACTCTGGGTTTCCTGAGAGGAAGGAGAGCTGAAATACAGGAACCAGTGGCTGCACACCATTTCCAGCAGCATAGGAGACCTTCCTCATTGACAGAGGTTTAGGAACCACATCTGAATCTCCAAACTTCCTGGTGTTCTCCCTTTGAAAGGAGGGAAGACGGGGGAGGAGGTGGGTGGAGAAGGTGAAGAGGTGGTTCTGTCCTTTGAAAGGCCCTGCAAACACAGCAAAACTGCTCCCAAGCCCTCAAATCTACTGGGAAAACATGTTGTGATACAAGTGGAAAAGACAAGGAGAAGTTTCAGCTAATAAAACATCCCGGACTAGCACCACTCTTCTGCTTAAAAAGCTGTTTATAATGAACAACAATTACTTACAGTATCATTGTGAGATCATTAGAGGACTCAGACACAGAAGAGCATCTGGTTCGTCTGGGTGAGGCCTGGAAAACAGTGTCACGTATCAGCAAACACCAGCAATGGATGGATTTTTTGTGAGGGCTGTTGGAAGAGGAGGAAATGTTCAAACTCTGACTGCTGAGCCACTCTGTGATCTAATCCTGGCCAAGGAGAAGAAAATCTGCCCCTCACTAGATCTCATAAGAGAAAAAGTTTGATTCCCTGGATAAGAACATCAGTTTGGTTGGGCTGTGTTGGATATCACTTTTCCTCCTTTCAAAGGGTTAATGGGACCCCAGAGATAATAAATGGATGAAGTAGCTGTGTAGGTGCTCAGGAGATGAATATAGGTTGATTTTTTACAAACTTAACCTATGCAGAGTGAGTCATAATTTGCACCTTGCGTCACTCAATAAATGGGTCTTTTAAAAGTCAACCCACTGTGAATGGGCTGTGAGCTCTCCAAAAGCAAGAATCCTGCTCTCCTGCCCACAGGAGGATCAAAAAAGCTTTTCTCCCTAGGTTACAGTGTGATGGCAATAATAGGGACCAAAAAAACAACTTCATGTTTGTGGGCTTGCCATGTCGCTCTTAAAAGGTCAAAAGGTTTTTACTGAAACAACAGTTTTTGTTTCATGAAAGATGAATTCTTAATCATAAATGTGTACAAATCTCATTGCTGCTCCTGCTGTGTCTTGCAACGCTGCTTCTTTATTCAATTATGCCTCACATCAACTTTTTAATTAATACCTACGTTAGGAAAACCTTGAAAGTTTTGATAAATAACATCTGCTTTTGTGCATTTCAACCATACACTTCTGTGAGAAGGAAATGTTTCTATTTTGTAGTCTGCCAGGAGAAAGAAAAGCAAGTAGAGAGGATGTCTACATGTTCACAGGGATCTCAGCACTGAGCAGACAGAATAATCATCTTTTGTTGAATACGAACCTAACGAAAAACAAATCCAACAATACCCTTTTGTTCTGAGCAAGAAAGGCAGGGCTTTAATAGTCTTTAAACGAGATAGAAAATTTCCATCCAAATGGAACCATGGAGTAGGTAGACACATTACAATGTTTTGGAGTTCAGTGATTAAATTTAATACTGTGCCAGGCAGTGATTAGTTGATGAAGGGTGTTCAAAACTAGAATAGGAACAAGGGAATTGTGGCTCCAGTTTAGCTTTGGGCCTCCTGAGCAGTTTGGTGTCCAGCTTTCTACTTTAATAGCAATGTCAAGCAAAAAAAAAATAAATTTTGGTTTGATTTATTTCCTTAAGGAAACTCAGTGCAACTGTAAATACACATAAAGCTTCAGCATTCAGGGCCAGATCCCAGCAAGCACCTGAGGTACCAACCAAAGCACAGAAACACATCCTTTTCTTCAGTACTTGTCCAGCTCGCTACCTCAATGCCTGCACTCATGGTATTGGTACATGTGAATCCCTTTAGTAGGCATTGAATTTTCCCAAATCACTGTGCAAGAGACCCCTAATTAAGTCTTTTTAATTAGGCACCCAGCTTCAGAGCTGGGTGCCTATGCCCCATGTAGATCTTTGCCTTAGTGCATTAAACCCCCTGGTGAGACCAATATGACACACTGTCCTTAACACTGCACAAAGATGGCAAAACCCCCTAGAGAGCAAGACAATAAAACCCTTTTAACTTGGCTGTGATCTCTCCTAAGCCAGCCCAACCCAGGCCACAAGCACGTGGTGCTCTGAGAAGTCATGGCACAACCTGAGCCCGGTGGGTACAGGTAGATCAAGCCAACTTCAGCAAAGACTTCACTGCAGCTTTGCAGAGGATGAGCAAGTTCATCTCCTGGGTTTCTCAAATAGAGAATTGCTCCCTAAATTCTGACCAGACACCTTTAAAGGAATTAAAATTCTTGCTTCAGTTTCTGTTCTGTCTTCATATGGACTGTTCTACCCCATCCCAGCATCTCAGTGCCTGAAGACCTGGTAAGACTCACGTAAGTCTCACAAAATATAAGGAAAATTAAGCTGAGATCTTTGTGCTGCAAAAGACATGCCAGTTCTTTTCTTCTTCCTTTCCTGTCATCATCTGTTCCTACAGTCCAAGCAAAGGCCATCATCATTCTAATTTGAAGCAAGTCTTCTTAAATTAGTATCTATTTTGGCCCAGACCTGCTCTTTGCTGCATTAGTATAAATCTTTTGTCTTTTCTCCAACTATATTCTGGTCTAAGCAAGATTAGAATCTTATTTTGGTGATGATTTGCAGGGTTATGCTAAACATCAGCATTGTACAGTCTCCAGATCTTGGTGAAATCTCATTGATTCAAGGGGGAAAGAATTTACTGTTACCATTTGCTATAATAGTAACATGATTTTTAAAAAGAAATTATAATTTGTAGATTCTCCTTGAAATTTTAAAATTCATCCATCAATTAACAATAATTAATCACCAAGCATGTCAAGTATTCAAAAAAAGTGTAGATATGGCACTTGAGTATGGGAGTGATGAACAGGGTGGTGGTGCTGGGTTGACAGTTGGATTTGATGATCTCAGAGGTCTATTTAACAGCTCCATGATTCTATGTTATGTGTGCTAAGTTAGTTGCAGCTTTCACTACAAGAAAGTAAAACAAAAAAGTCTAGGAAAAACTGTGTTGGAGTCTATTTAACACTTCAAATGAATGCTTGTGTAAAGCTCCTCTCAGAATCTCCATCACAGGCGACTTCCCTGACTGCCAGAAGGCCTGGGAGCTTTTCCCATCAATGTGAGAAGCAAGAGATTTGCACCTTAAGAAAAATTTCCAACTTACTCTTCGCGTATTATTTGTGCTCCAGGTGGTGGTAAGACATAAATCCTGGAAGCTCTCTCCACAATGGTGAAATGCCAAGAAATGGAGCAGTTTACTGGAACAGCAGCAGGTTTTGATGTCTTTGCAATGCCAGTTTCAACTAGAAAGGTACAATATTTTATATTCTGAGAAGCTGAGCTAGACCATTTTGGCAAAGAGTCTGTCTGCCTTACAGGGGTGGGGTAGGTATTTACTATCTCTATAATGACTTCCTACTGCAAGTGGGTCAGGTAATTCAAACAACTCGCCAGAACTGCCCTTGGTGGAGTCTGGTGAAGTCTCGCCTGTAAGTAAATAGTCCCTGAGCTGCAGAGGGCACATCCTCTGCCATGTGATGTCTCAGCCATTTCCTGGCACTGCCCCTCCAACAAATCCTTCACTTTATCTCCCTCCCATTGTAACGGTTTCACTGCTGAGGCTGCGGCTGCTGCACTTTCTGCTGCCAGTGATCTGCTGTGAACTGGAAAAATACCTGCTGAAAAGACCAGTCAGGTACTTCAGTGATACCAGAGGCTCCTCCTTTCTCTGCCTCCGTTATGGGCAACCACCCAGTCTGTCAGTTCTGCTTGTCCAGCTCCAAAGCAAATGTTTCAGCATCCAGCCTGCACAAATAATCAGGTTTTAAACAAAAACTGCAGCAGAAGATCGGTTTGTTGCCTGCAATTGGTGCAGTGTTTGGCTTTCCCTCATGCTGAGCCTTGGTGCCTGATACTCAAACACATGGATCATGTTCATTCTGGCATTTGGAGTGGGGTAAAAGGCACGGTGTGAGTGGGAAATCCCAAACTCAGCAAGATTGCAGAGGTGCTGCCTTGCACAGTGGTTGAAATGCCAGAGGAAAGGTATGAAGTAACTCAAATGGTAAGAAATAACTACCAGCCCCTACACAGCTCCTTGAGGCATTGTGGATGGAGAAGGATACCCTGTCCCCTGGCAAATTAGGGCCAGGAGTTGGACTTTGATGATCTTTGGATGTCCCTTCCAATTCAGGATATTGCCTGATTTTATGAAATATCCCTTTGCACCAACAGCCTCACCTGAGAGCTGCTGGGGAAGGACACACAGGTCATTGAAAGAGCCTGAAACCATTCATTATATTCTTGTTTGCCAAAACCACAGTGGCATGGCTTGGTTCACCATAAACATTTTGGGCAATACTATTCATATTATACCAGTAACTAAAACCAAGCAGCAAAACAAAAAGATGCTCAGACTCTTGTGAGCTCTGGGCTAGACTGATGCCTTCTGGGGAACAGCTTCATGGATCTTAGCATTTTAGAGTAGCTTTTTAAAACAAAACTTCTGAAAATGAACAAGTTATTTCATAGATGAACTCTGTTGTCATGAAAAACTCTGTTTATCTTTCCAAACAAGCACGTTCCTGTACAGAGCAAATGAATGTCAATATTATTCCTAAATGTATTTGAAAATTAATACTGTGCCCATGTGTCACTTCAAAGTACCCTCTTTTGATCTTCCCAAGGTTATCCCAGTGGCTTTGCCCACAAAATGAGCACAAACACAGCAGTGAATGAGTCAGGACACAGAGGTGACTCTAAGAGCAGGAGCGATGCCTCTGGAGAGCACGGAGTAGAGCTAAGGGTGCAGCAGCGTGTGGTACCAGCTGAACGAACTGGGACTGGCAGAAGGGGAAAACACTTTGCTGTAAAAATTTTACTTCAAGTTCCTCCACCTCCCATCAAGGCAAAAGACTCTCTCAGAGTCTGGAACACCCAACCTGACGGACCCAAGACTGCACTGGGAAGACGTGAGGCACACGATGCACGCCTTGAGCGGGAAGGTGGCCCACAGGCCCCGGCACTTCTGAGCAGGGCTTTGAAAAGAGTTTCCAAGGGCCCTACACAAAAAGTCCTTTCAAAAGTGCTCCATAAAACACACCTGAAGAAAGCCCGTTAGCTCTGCGCTCTCTGTTTAGCTCAGGTGTTGTTTTTTCACACACAGAAACACATGTACAGACTTAGTGCACCATACAATGCCCCACTAAAGGCATCAAGTGCTGGTTATAACTCCATCCAAGATCAACAAGGTCTTTTTCCACAAGCAACCCTTTGTGTTTGGGAAGCCTTTGCCCTGAATTTTACTGTCTCCAAGTCAACCAACAGGTGCTCTGCAGTCAAACGTGAGCTATTTAAGTGCAACCTGCATAACAACTTCCCAGGCTGGCAGGCAACCTTAAATAGTAGTTAGGGACTGGAA